GTATGGAGTTTTCGTGATTTTTTCAAGTAGAATATTGTTGATGATAACAATCAGAGGATTTTGAGAACTTGTTAGGATTTTGTGAACAAGTTTATGTGGATGAGTTATATATAATATGAAATATGGGAAAGGCATAGTACACACCCCTCAAAAGATGTATATCATATGCATCTTATAACTACATAAGAAAATAGTATAACTTTATATTTTGAGTCATAACTAAAAAAAATAAAAAATAAAAGAGTCATAACCAAATACAAAAAAGTCATAGTCAAAATTTTAAAATAATGTCATAATTAAATAAGGAATTTGATCATAACTAAAGAAATAAAATGGCGCAACTTAGGATGAATATGGTATAGGGATGTGTATAATAGAATTCTCCATGAAGTATATATGATGTATGTGTATATATTACAATGTATATATATATATAATTTTTATATTTTTCTATTTTTTAATTAAAAAAATGAACTTAAGATGGAAAACAAATTTAACTAAGTTTATACCTAACATTTAAGGACTAAATATTAAGTTTTTATAAGACTCAATTACAAAAATATTAATTATTAATTTTTATTTTTATTTAATTTATGGATTTGTTGGATGAAAATATTAATTATTAATTTTTATTTTTATTTAATTTATGGATTTGTTGGATGCCTTCGTGATTGTAATATTATTTTAGTGTTGGATTTGGGAGAGACTTTTAGACTCAAGCTCGGGCTAGTTGGGTTTGAGCACGAGAAATTATTTTAATTGTCAACTTAAGCTTGCCTGAACTAGACCCGTCCATCTTATTTTCAACTGTTTCATACGTATTCTTGCTTTGATATAGGGATGTGGTGCTTCATATTGTGTCATCTTGTGTCAGTTGTGGTGTTATTTTAGGTTCGTGTCAGTTGTATTTGTGTTGTATCATTTTAAGTTTATGTTAAAATTTTCTCAACACTAATCCAATCTGATTTTTTTCCTTCTTCTCAACACTAACCCATGGCTCTTACAAACATTTCAACCGCTTTGATAAATTTCATTGTGAACTTTTTTTCTTCTGTGTGAATTCTATTGTCACAGCTTACATAAATGTTTGAATAGTTCAAGGTATCATATGATTAACTAATTAGTTCGATAGTTTGCCACTAAAAATTACATATTCCGATACAAGATATTTTCATTTTATACTCTCTTTATTTGTGTTTGCATTTCATTTGCATTGTGTTGTCAATTTTATTAATGTGAGGAATTGTTGGAAAATTTAGAAGTGGATGGGAATGGGAATTGACTCTATTTGAAATAACAACTTTTCATTTAAAACGGCCCATTCGAATGAAATGTTGCTACTCTTCATGTTGTCTCGCCCGATGAAAGGGTACAACCCTTCTCTATTTGAAGAGTCATTGTCAAACACATTCCGAGCCCATGAAGGATGAAGGCAATAACACGATAAAATAAGGAAACACAAAAATTCAAGGGAGAATCATTGGATCAAGGGAAATAGTGAGAAGATAATAATAAGTGAAGGACGAGATTCAGACTTATAACCCGTTCTCTATTTCCATTTCACACAATTCATGTATTATATCTTTTACATACATCTTATATTGAATCTCTTTGTGATTCAAAACATACAACATGTGATTCAAAAGTAACTTTATTCATTTCAAATTTGTGCCCCGTGGACTTACATCAACAAATAGGGCTTAGCCCTTTGCAAAGAGAGGCACTTTGCCTTTTTCATCTACCTATGAATCATCATATATATAGGGTTCAAAAAAATCATATATATATAATAATAGTTCAATTCATTATTTTTCAAAATTATAAAATAAATAAATGGGCTTCAACAATATGGTTAATTTTTATCTTAATTTTGTTTACAATGATGAGTAAATAGGCTTTGTTCATTTACAGTCTTAAAAGTAAAAGACATTATACAAAATAGAAGTGATAGAAAGAGAAGTGGAAAAAAAAATGGAAATTTTGTTTTCTAACATGCATTTGGTTAAGATGAAAATTTTGAATTTTTTTTTTAACAATTAGCTACTTTAATGATGAAATATTTTTTCTCTGTAAAAGTCATTTGCCATGTTGAGATGTGTTGTACAATAAATTAAGTTTTCTTTTATTTTTCATCATTTTCATTCTAAACCAAAGCTGTAAAAGTTTTAAAATTTCTTTCTTTCAATCAATTTCATCAACACTCTTCAGATATCAGTCGGTTGAAGGTGATCAATACCATCAAATTCAAATCAGCACTATGGCTTAATTTTAGGGTTAGTTTTGGTGATCTATCAATTTTGGTCTGGTGGCTTCTTTTGAATTCTCCAATCACTGCTAGTGTTCTTGTTTATAGTTTCTGCATTGTTTCCACTTGAAGTAGGTACCTTGTTTTTTCTCTTTGTAGATCTGTAGTGTTGCATATGATTGTCAAGGCAACCTAGTTGGGTGAACATCACAAAAAGTAAGAATCAAGGAGGGTTGGGAATCATGAAAATCAGAGTTTAATCACTGCTTGTTATCAAAATGGTGGTGGAGATATGGCAATAAGGACAAGGCCTTATGGAAAAAAGTTGTTTGCTCTAAATATGAATCTATTGGTGGGAGATGGATGCCATTCTTGGAAGATATTAGCAGAGTTTCAAGAGTATGGGGTGACATTCTTTCGGTTGCTAGTAGTAATCCCCAATTGGGCAATTTTTATCTGTCAAAATGTAGGGTAGTGGCTAGAAATGGTTCTGGAATCAGATTTTGGATTGATAGCTGGGTTGGTGAACAAAGTTTGAAAGTTCTGTTTCCAAGACTCTACATGCTGTCAGTTGAGAAGGATGACTCTCTTGGGATGCTTGTGGAAAGGAAAGGTAACTCAGAAGAGTGGGTGCTGGCATTCAGAAGACCATTAAGAGCATGGGAGGTGGCTGAGGTTGGTAGGCTTAACACTATGTTAAATGCAGTCAGAACATCAGTGGCAGATTCTGAACATTGCTTGAGATGGATTGCATCCTCCTCAAGTGAGTTTAATGTTGCTTCTATTTACTACATAAATGAGGTTGGTGTTTTATCTGATGTTCCTTCTCTGATATGGAACAATCTTTCTCCTCCTAAATCGCAATTCTTTGGGTGGTTGGCTTGGAAGGGGAGGGTCAAAACCGTGGACTACCTTCGAAGTATTGGTGTACTTAGTGGGAGTGTTCGTAACACCTGTATTTTTGCAATTATGATATTGATCTGTTAATCAGGTGCTTTTGTTGTGTCCATCAATCTGGAAGGTGTGGTTTAGTTCAGTGGATTGGTGGGCTATTCAGTGGTTGTGCCTGGGTCAATTGAGGGGCTTCACAATTGGTGGGCTGGGTTTGAGTTTAAGAAGTTTGAATGGCTGATATGGAAAACTATACCAATGGCTTTACTGCGGTCCATCTGGAAATGTAGAAATGAATGTGTTTTTAAAGGAACTCATGCCGCAGTTGGAAATGCTTGTTGATTAGGAAAAGTAAGAATTGCATTGTGGATTAAGTATCATCACCCCAGCTGTGTGTTGTCCGTGCATGACCTGGTTTCCAACATGCATCAGATTAGATTTCCTGCAGTGTGAGTATTGAAGCAGCTCTGAAATGCATTGTTGTTGGGACTGTTACACAGGTGATTGGGTGTTTTGTGTTTTTATTATTGATACTCCTTGTGTAGAATCCATGCAGAGTGAGCATTGTGGATGGTTCTGGGTAGAAGTTTATGGGTGGCTGCTCTGTTTTACATTGTTGCTGGGATTGAATTCGCTGATCTGTTTTGCACTATTGTTGGGGTTAAATGGCTGCTATCTTTGTGTTGTTGGGGCTGCTGCATTGGGTTTTTGTTTTTTGTTGTTTTTTGTTTTCTATGTTGCTCTTTCCTTGTTTGGTTTGTTTCTCATCAACCCCACAATGTGCTAGCGTATGATTATGCGTTCTTTTTAGTACCAGCATAGTTGGAATCTTCTAGTATGCTTTGATGCTCTTTACATTCATCATTTTTTTTATTGATGTATTCTTCTGATTCCACCAATAAAGATTTTGTCTTTTTGCTACTAATAAAAAAAATAAAAAAAGCAACCTAGTTGGGATATATTCTTTCCTTGTGATGTTCTCACCCTGGTCTTTTTATCGATGCATTCTTGATGGACTTCTTTTTACTCTTTTTACATCAATAAAATAAATAAATAAATAAATTCAATGTATACTTTATATTCGTATACTTTTTGTGTACTTTTTTTGAATACATTGCTCTTTTTGTAATGTTCTTTGTCACATGATATTTCAAGAGTAATTAATAATTTTCAATTTTATTGGTTACTATGGAAAAAAAATCAAAAAAACACATAGAAACTGAAATTAATTTCCAAGATTCACTAACAGTTTGGTACCACAAAAAAAAAAAAACTTAAAAGGTACATTACACTGACTTCGCTTGAAATTTGAAAAAAATACAAATAGCTCTACAATCTTGGCATAATTATACTAGCATCCCTTTTAATATGGCTAAATGGACTAAAACTAATGTAAATCGTGTGAAGACATAAAGATAAATGCGAAAAAAAATATGGTTTAGTATAAAAGAGAGGAAAATATCATTTTTTTTCATTCATAGCACTAACGAGTTATTGATGAAAATGGAATTAAGTATTATATAAATTAAAATCTTAACTGAGTTCAATAAAGTCAAAATTGTGACTTGCTATATTTTTTCAAAACTTCAGGAAAGTCAGTGTAATTTACCCAGAACTTTAAATACTCCCCATTGATCTATTTTACAAAGTAAAAATCCAGGACATTAGACTTTCCTTTTCAATTTAATCAGATTCCCCCAACCAATTAGCTTTCACTAAAGATAGAGATCAAGAAAAATTATCATGAAATTTATCCCAAAAAGTGATGAATGGTTATAATTTAACTCCCTAACACCACTAATTAGTTTCATATGCATCAAATTGAAATGCAGGAAGAGAGTAGCTTTTTCACCATGTAGATTTATTATCCATTTTTAGTCTTTTGAAAGTCTGGTCTTGTTGACAATACATGGTATGTTATATATAGACAGAGAACATACATACTAGATAGATACATAGAAAATAGAAGGAAGATCCTTCCTCATCAGCCAATGAGGCTGATCCCTTGAAGGATCAATGCATTGGCAAGAAGCTGATTAGCAGCCTGAGATGGATGGACACTGTCCCAAAACACATACTCAGTAGCATTCCTACATGTTCCTCTCGACTTTGGATTGCACAACAACCATGTCGTTTCTATTATCCCTGTTCCGCAGCAACCTCTCCGTGCTTCCGCAAAACCTGCAATCACCCATTATTTTATCATAGTTGACAGACAAATCTTACAATGTGGATTCCGTGATAAAAGTTGTGATTTTTGTCGTAGAAGTTATGAAATTGATTGATGAAAAGTTACGATTTTCACTGTGAAAATTATGAATTGCGGAATTATAGTGTGCACTCTTAAAGTAATAACTAACAAAGTTATTTTTTGGTGATGAAAGTTGGAATCATGCTACCCATAATCTCATTTCTTACCTCATTTTTTCACTCTTAGACCAAAATAATGGAAAATTATTTAATAATCTCGGAACATCACGTGACCATACCCCAACCAATTATTTAGCCTCATGTTGTTCCCTCATTCCCAACATAAATTGTGGGTCCCTATCCGTCTCTACCAATCAAAATCTTATGGAGCACCGCGTATCCGTCCTCCTGGAATCCTAAATAATCACCCCAAAATAATAGGGCTCACATTTATAAATGCATATGGGATTCACTATTGTGTCTTGGAGTGAAAAAATAAAAAAATAAAAAATTGTAGCATTTTCCTAAAAGTTACGTTTTTGTAAGAGTGTGCTATACATAATATTGTTTCTTACCTCATTTTCTCACTCTAATATAGAAAGTAATGTGATCCACATCATAAATGCGCACGAGACTCATTTACTTGTGTATAGAGTAAGAAAATGAGATAAGAAACAAAATTATATATAACATATTCTTTTTTGGTAAAAAAAGTGATAATATTATTTTTTATTCATAAGATTAATCAATTATTGATCAAAGGAGAATAAATGTCATGTGATTAAAATCTCAAAGGAAATCAATATAAACTCAATGTAATAATGTCAAAATTGCAAGACTTGTTGCATGTTTGGCAAACCTCAAGGGAGGTCAGTCTAATTTACAACTCCCCGCAAAAAAAGTACACAACTAAATCGGCACCCAATCATATTTTAGTCATAATTCAATTCAAAAATCACTTTTAAGGCTCGTTTGATATTTGGCTAAAACAATCAAAAAGTCACTATAAATTATCGTAGCATTCTCTCTAAATTCCTATATGTTCTTTTCTAAATAAATTTAAAAAAAACAACTAAAGCAGTTAATTTCCAAACGAGACCTTAGTATCATAAAATCCAATTTAATTTTTTATTGAAGTCAAACAAAAATACTCAAATCCATAATAAATAAATAAATAAATAAGGATATTTTATAGTCTTACCATAGTTAGAAGGAGTCTTGACAAGGTTATAGAGGGATTTGTAAATGTCAAAGACGACAATTTTGAGTCCTGGAAGTTGCTTTTGGAGGTTAGTTGCAGAAGAGTTGATCATCTTGTTGAAGGATTGAGCATCATTGTTGATCCTTGACACACACCCACTTTCATGCATTCCAAACAATGTGATTGCCAATGGAACACACCCCAATGGTGGGAGTGGTGTCACTCCTATTCTTCTCGCCCCCAAATTATACAGCTTCTGTTTGTCAAACAAACAAAATTAATACGTCTTCCTGTGAAGGATGAGAAATCATTTGTACTTGGATTCTCTTCTGTTCGCAATCTAAATTAGAAGGTGTTAATCTGAAAGTATTAAAAAAAAATCAATTTGATAATCGTAACATATTCAATTTATTATATTTGTGTCAAGAAATGAATGACAAATGTATTTTTTTAAAACAGACTATTGAATAGGTTATGATTATAAGATTGACTGATTTTTATTTTTGTTTTAGAAGATGATATACATGTTAGGTTCTCCAAAATAAACAGTTTGAATTATTGAAACGGGACTTGAGACAGCACCCTGAACGGAATCCAAACTTAAATTATAATTTGCTTTGAGAGCAAATTTAGGTGGTGTCTCAACTTGTATATTTATTAGCTAAAACAGAGGTTCCACCACTTATTTGTCTCTTTTTAGAAGACAATAGAGCAGTTGTCTAAACATGAATGGTGTGAAACAATGCTACAAACAATCAAATAACTTTTTCGTGAAGGATATATTTTAGACCCAAAATTTTTATTTCATGTACCTAATGCCTAATCTAAAATGTTAGGTATACAGAATTAGAATATAATAAAGGGCATTGTATAGTTTAGTATAAGTGTGACTCACATCACACTCAAAATGAATCCAAATCACATACAGTGCGACTTTTGTGTACATTGTATTCTAATTCTGTACATCTAATAAAGTGCAATTTTTGTGCACTCCCGGTCATTCGATGTAATGAAAATTTTGAAATATGTATATCTTAAGATACAAATCATGATTAAGGTTGTGTTTGAATTAAAAAAAAAAAAAATTGAGCGGAGATTTGTGGAGCAATCCAAATATAATCTAGAGGGGTAATTACACCCCAATGGATTTGTTGCCGTACGAATATAGACAAATGATTTAGACTGAAAATAAATCAAAAAATTAGAATTTAAATTGAAAAAATTAAAAACTTAAAATTTATTTTGATACTGGACCCAAATCCTAGGATTATTTTGTAATTTTCTTTAAACCATTTGCTCTCTTTTCTTTGCTTTTTTCTTTGAAAATTTTTAATTGTTAACTATTTTACTTTTTTTTTTTCTTTTCCATAAATGGATGCATTAAATGGATATTTCAAAAAGAAACATAGCTAAAATAAAAGAGTATTGTTGGCGGTGTAAATTTAAAAAGTGGCCAAGGAGGAGGGTCCCTCCAGTTCACTAATTTAGTGCAAACCCATTTTGGGTTTGTTTCAGTGATTCAACATGTTCAAATTTTAGTGATTTCTGAGTATGTCATACATTTAAAAAATAAAATTAATTAAATATGAATAATTATATATTTGAATCATATTTTTTGGAGGGAAAAAAAAAAGACAAATAATATAATATCAAGAATAGATTATCCAATTTTTTTCAAGATAAAAACGATGATCCAATCATGTAATATTAATATCCAATCAATCTAATCTTTTACATAGAAAATACTAGAAGGCACTAAAATTTAAACGTTCAGGAGGTGGATCCAAAATAGGCCCACAAAGCACTAAGCTGGACACTTCGGTCAAATTAGTGTACTAGAGACGCGTCTCCCTGAAAATAATAAAGTAAAATTTTGAGTAGATATTTTGATTAGCATGGTTGGAGCTCATTAAATTTTTATTTCAAACCTGTAAAGAGTAGTATTATCAAGAGGTAGGAAGGTACCTTTACAAAGCTTGAAAATATGGTGACAAGGTATGAGGAATACTGATCAGGAGTGTAGACTTTGTAGAGGAAAGGATTGACATAATAGTTCTGCAGAAAGTCACTATTACCAGCACTCAATATATATAATCCATCCTTGATTATGGATCTTGCTTTTTCATTCCCCGCCACCTTTGCTAGCTTAGCTTGGTACTCCTTGTAATATTCTAACTGTTGTGACAAAGGGATTGCATGCTGTACAAATTTTAACAATGAAAAAGTAAAGTCAAAAGAAAGGAAAGTTATAGATCAGCTTGCATTTATGATGCATTGAAAGAGAGAAACTGAATTTTGTTTGGTTCCTGAGAAAGACAAGTGAAAAGACCATGTAATTATTTTTAGGGAAAAATTAGGGATTATGAAAATTTTGTCATGAAAATAATCATGAAAAATTTATGATCCTTGGATTACCTTGATTAGTGTGTGGTGCTTTATTCTAAGTGTAATTCAAGGGTCACAAAGCTTTCATGATTATTTTCATGACAAAATTTTCATGATACCTAGCATTACTGTTATTTTTAAATCTTGGAACTATTTGAAGAAAGTGTCATGCTATTTTATGATCATTTTCCCTTTTTGTTTGATGTTTGATTATACAACAAGACTACAAATTCAGAATTATCTACTCACAATTTATTTAGAAATAAGAATCAATTGTTCAAATTCATTTCACTCATGCACCCCACAATTCATCAATTTAATATCCACCACACATACTCATTTTAGATAAATTTTGGGTCCCAAATTCTGGAACCCTAGCTTTTCTGTTCATTATATTATATATGCAGTTAGGAATGAGCGAGAAAATCTTAATCGAACCACTCTTTGATGAATTGATAATTCTAAATTCGCTACCAATCTGACCATCCTCAAAACCAGAGGATTAGTTGAATTTTTTACTAGTTTCAACTGAGTTGTTTGAGCAGGTTGAATGAGTTAGAATTACAGAATTAAAAAAACATCTGTGAGTATACAACTTCATTTTTTTTCACAATTTTAACCATAAAAATTTTATTTCTTTCAAATCCCAACAAGAGACCAATAATTAATCAAATGCATAAATTTAGTCAAATCAATATACAAAACAATCTAAATTAGAAAAAAGAAAATATGTGAAGGAAATAAGAAATGAGTGTCATTGATTAATGGTATTAGGATTATAAGGAGATCATTTGTGTGTGAGTAAGTGCAAGGTAACAAATTACTTGGTTTGCATATTGACAAATTTTAAACCGCAAGCTAATTTTGCCTATCAATCTTGATCATCTAACCCGCTCACCTTCTCAAACCATAAGGAGCCGTTTGTTTCATGGAATTGAAGTGTGAGATTGGATTTTATATCCAATAAAGTTATTAATTCATCCTTTGGTTAGAAAAGTGACGGTTGGACTAATAGTCAAATACATATCATTTTCAGCTAAATATTCTAACTATCTATTTAGGACTAATGGTTCATTGTATTACAATCCGCTCTTATTCAATCTGTCCAAACAAACACTGTTTGAGTTAGTTTAAGTTAAAAGTTGGCAGGGTTTTCACACACCTTATTCTAAGCACAAGCTAAACTTCTTACACTCAAGAATGCAGTTTTGTCATCATAGCCAGATCCAGCAGAAGCAAAATTTAAAATAATTGTTTGACTTTTTAAAAAAAAAAAAAAAAAAAAAAATTATTCACCCAAAAAAAAAAGCAGAAGCAAAATTGGCTCCAAGAAGAAGCTTTTTCCCTGAGGCCTGTGGGCTAAGATATGCTGGCGGGTATGCGGTAAAGCCCAGTGTATCAGCTGCATGCAGAGAGAGAGAGAGAGAGAGATTAGAATGACAATTAGTAGTATTAGATTAGATATACACAGATTGAACTTGCAGAGACAGGTTAAAATGACAATTAAGTAATAATATTAGATTTGATACACAGAGATTTCCCTGACAAAGCCAATATTCTCAAGCTGTTGAACAACTTACCGGTGATATCAGTGGCTAGTTTGCCATTGCAGAACCTTCCAGTTGGTTTGTGATTGATGAAGTCTCTGCCATAAGGTGGGAAATTAGCTTTGAAAATGCTGTGAATATAGTCATTGTTCCCGACATCTACTGCCGAGTCACCAAATGTTAAGATTGCTGGAACAAGAGTTGTTGAATTTTCAGCATCCCCATCTTCTCTTCTTTCTTCTTCTTTTTTCTTTCTTCTTTCTCTGCTTTCTCTGCTTTCTTCTTCTGAGTTATGCTGAGTTATGGAAAAGGATGACGAAAAGGGGCCCACAAAAAAAAAAAAAAAAAAATCCTAAAACTATGTCGTTTTGGGATTTCGGACCGCTCGAGCCACCGAAAATTCGAGCTACAAAACGGAACCATTTAATAATACTGTTATTTTTCTATTTTTTCTTCTTTGTAAGGTCATGTAATTCTTTAGATCTCTTCTATTGGTTGGGCACATTATCAACGTAAAATTCTTATAACACATAATATAATTATTCAAATAAAAGTTTAGGAAATTTATTCAAAATAATAGTGGATGGTATAGATTGAATTTTGTATAATAGGACCCATCTTTGAAATGCATCTTAACCATTAAATGCTCTTTTTTGATTTTTTTTTTTTTTTTTTTTTTTGCAAATATTATAAGTTTCTAGTATTGCTCATAACTAGTTGAAAAATTATCAACCCACAAAAGCAATCCAAAAAATTTACCCAAAATAATAGTGGATGGTGTAGATTGAATTTTGGACACTGGATTCCTTTGTAATGCATTTCTCAGTATTTTTCTAGGTAAATATTGTTTGTTCCTGACATTATTGCTTATATAATAAAATTAGAATGAGGATGAGAATGAAAATGAGAATGATATCTCATGCTCAAGATATGTATCTAATATTAATTAATGGAGTCTTGGAAGTAGACACATAGCATTAAAAATAAATAATGTTTCGAGACTATTAAATAATTTTGATTTAAACTGATAGAGTAGTGATACATGTATCAGTTAGTGTACTAATTAGTATATCAATACTTATGATATTATTATTGATCTCACTCATTATAAAAATTACAAATACGAAAAACATTTTAAATTATGTCACATTATCAATTAATACATTAATTAATACACTAATTAATACATATAGCATTATTCAAACTGATATCCGTCAACTTTTTTAGTAGTGTTAAATGAAAATCACAATTATGAATTTTTGTTCTTCTAACTAATAAAAGAAGAAAAAGTGGTTGTGGGATAATTAGATTTTAAATGATGCATTGGGAGTTGCAGCACGAGAATACTTGCCTGCACGTGTTAGATTGTGATATGTTTTGGTTATAAGACTTGCAACTCAAAAATCAAAAATACAAGACACGTTAGGATTGCGTAACATATCACTCAATTTATTAAAAAAAATTTAATTTGTATTGATTTGCATCAATTTATTTGTCAATTACAGATTAAAATTTATAATTTAATTTTGAAATCGTTTCGCTCTGTTATAATTAATACATATATTTTTTAAAATTTCTAATAAAATATCAAAATAAAAATAAGTATGTGAGAAATTTAAAATGTCAAATTTATTACAAATTAATATTTTTATATATATAAAAATATTATGTAAATTGATACTATATATTATATAAAGACTTAATAATTAGTTAAAATATTTTTTAATCCATCAATTCATTCAAAATCTCTCAAATCACAATATGTCAATCCGCTAATTTAATATTTAATTTATAATATTGCTTTCAAATAACTCAAACCGCCCACTTCCGTACCTCTAATACATCAGTCTACATAACTGATGGTATCATCGCCGCCAATTGAACTACCAAAGTGTTTGCACTCGCTAAATTCAACCCTCCTAAGAAAAATTGAACCCATGACCTCCTTAGAACTAAGCCCTAAGGAAGACATGGTGGCAACTAGGCTAGTTGGTTGCTTATTTCCACTACATAGGGATGTAAAGCTTAATAACATGATCTATTAATTTACTGCATTTACTTTATTTTTTTATTTTTTTTAGGATAAATTACAAACACACTTCCTGAGATTTACTTAAATTACAAATTATCTCATGTGATTTTAGAAATTACATTATACCCCATAAAGTTTCTAATTTCATAATAAATAGGTCCTTTTATTAATAAATTATCAAGTTAATTAATAGTTTTTAATAATATTAAAATTTTATTTCAATTAATAATTCAAATAATTTTATTATTATATAGGTAAACAATTAAAAATTTTACTTTTTCAATTAATTTTGTTAAATAAAAAATTCTGATAGGGAAGTATTTGTAATTTTCCAAACCACAACGGACAATTCGTATTTTTAGTAAACCTCAGAGGATGTATTTATAGTTTACCCTTTTTTTTTATCTAGAACTTCCTAGAAGACTCGTGAAGTTGTGAAAATATTATACATAATTATAAAATTATAAATATTCTTCTTATATATTTTAGAATGGATACTCGGTTCATAAATCTAAATTTGAATTTTGTTTAGTGAAAAATCCAAGCATAGAAATACTTTGTCCATAAAGACATGGTAATGGACAATGTCCATACTACCCTTACATATATATATATATATATCGTAAACACGGTTAAAAATTTCATAATTCCCACATTGTATCTTCAAACCCTAACACTCTCTCTCTCTCTTCCTCTCTCTCTTTCTATACCATTGCTCACAAAAGACAATGACCTGCTGGACTCGACCTTTGCCACCCGACGCCGCTGTGATGAAAGACCTAAGGGTTTGCTTGGCCGACACAAGGTACTGGATGATCAGGAAATAGATAAATCTAACAAACCATTAACAATGCACTACTAGCTTTACTGTAATGAATAAAAGTACAACCCTTCAAAGCAAACAAAAAAGATTAAAAATAAAAAAAAAATTGTCAAAAAAATAAAATTGGAAATGTTTAGCAGTATGTTACAGGACATGTACATTTTGTTCGGTAGTAAGTTACTGAACAAGTATTTTTGTTCGGCAATGGGTTATTGGATATGTATTTTTTTTCGACGGTGTGATTCTGGACTATTTGATTTTGTTCGGTTTTGGTATACCAAACAAAAGTCAAACATCCCTCTTTAAAAACGAAACGAAAAAATAAAAAATAAAGAAAAAAAAAAACTCATCAATTCACTTTTTTGCTAGTCCTTCATCACTATTTCTTCGTCTATTACTTTCTTTTATGATCAAAATACTATAATTCTTACTTTTTGAAAGTAGATGTATAATGGAGAAGAAGAAATGAGAAAAGAAAAAAAAAATTAAAGATTGAAATGTAATAGGTGTAAAGAAATAATCAAATTTATTTAATTTTTATCTTATGTCCTTAAAGATAATTTTTACACATAGGCAAAATTGAAAAAAAAAATACATATATATCTCAAATAAAAAGTTTAAAGAGGTAAATATGTTGTGTAAATAGAATTTTCCTTTTGTAAAATGTGCTAATAGTGGGGGAATAGTAGTTTCAAAACTAAGACGGGTCATTGTTATTATTGAAATCTCAAACGAGATCCTTGCAATTATGCTAAATCTCAAAGGGGTTAGTTAACTTCCTCAAAAATAGTATATTTACCATATGGAAATAAAAAAATAAAAAAAAGATCAAAAAAATCATATAACAAATTTAGTATGAGCTAAATGATGATTAAAGCCTTGTTTGGAAACAGACTATTTTAGTAACTTTTTAATTTTTTGACTAAAATATAAGATAAAAAAAAAATAATGACTTCTTGATTTTTTATGAAAAAATATGCAAAAAATATAGAATAAAATCTTTAATTTTTTGGTATAGATTATAGACTTCTTGATTTTTTAGTAACTTTGTAACTTTTAGACTAAAAACTATTACATGCCAAACAATGTCTAAATAAAAATAATGGATTTAACAAGACTTAATTTTCTTATATTCACCTAAACAATCAAAAGTTTGAACAGTTTGCCTAGAAGAATAAGAATTTATAACTTTATATTTGCTCTAACTTTTCTGACGATAATATCATGCTAACAGCTTCTTTAGAGTGAGAAAAATGAGAAGGGGAAAACCATCTTATCTTGTTTTAAAAAATAAATAAATACATTTGGTGGTGTTACTTAATGAATTACCAAAACATTACTTCAAATTTTAAAATAATGATTTGAAAAGAAAAATGGAGATTAATGAAATGTGAATAAAATATAATTGTATTTTACCCATATTTTCCTTTTGCCATTCTAAATCTCTACTCAAATTCATCATTCAAACACGGTCTAAAATGTAAATCATTTGCATAAAGGACTTTTGGTCAGTTTATCATTAAAAAGGAGAAGTCAAGAAATTGGTCTTTGATAATCATGTGAAAGTTGCAGCCCAAGAAAAAAACATCATAGTGAAATTCATGTTAAAGGTGATTAGTAAATGACCTAGGCATTGCTAAATCGCTACAACCTCATAGCCATGATGCATCCAGAGAGACTCCAGAGCTCTTGGATTTTTAGAAACCTTTCGACCATTGTTTTAAGACCTTCCATCTCCAGTTTAAACCAAGATGAGCCTAAAGCTAGGCTGACAGACAACAACACAACACAACACAACACAACACAATCCAATCATTAACTTTGGGCTCAAATCATCAAACAGTGCAGAAATCCCCAAAACTAGGTGCTCAACCAAACAGGTCCTAAGAAACACAAGCTTCAGGAAAACAAAGTTATCACAAGCAGATCCGAGCACTAATCTCCTTTTCATCTTTGTGTCTTAGATATAATCCATCAATTGCAAAGACCAAACCATGCATTTGATCGAGCCCGGAAGCCTTTAAAAGACCATGCTAACTTGTATTGCTGATTAATGTAGACAGTTTGGTTCAGGAGTACCAATTAAACATCTTTTTACATCAGAATCAACTTTAAAGGGGCCTCAAGTTTGTGCAAGCACTTAACAAGTAAAATAAAGTGAAGAAGGTGAAACCAAACTCATGTACTTTGGAACTGTCAACCAATATTTTCAGCGAAAAGGCTCAGAATGCATTTCCTAGCATCCTCCCTCTCAGAATGGCTTCTGCTTTCCTCACCTGCTTCATAGGTCCAACGATCACCACCTACATAAAGAATACATCAATTGGCATTTATACTACGATATGCAGGAGCAGCATTTGATATTGGAAGTTTAAATAAATAAATAAAAATTCAACAAATGGCACAGGTGGAATTCACGCTTTAGTTTTTGTAAGATAATAGTAAGAATGCAACACTACACACATGGAGTTTATATCTATGAGAGAGTAGTCTTTGGATCAATGTGGGTGGTAATTACAAAAGTATATCTTAGGAATAATGTGAAGCACCACACGACAAAGACCGAATGAACACAAGCAATGAACCAACATGTCCCTTGTTTGATACTACAAATATTATGTGAAAGGAGATGGCAAATCCTTCTTTCTATCATCATCCAACAACACACACACACACACACACACAGAAAAAGAAAAAATGGCAATCAAAACCATTCACTTATTTCAATGAAGTTCACAAACTAACCTTGTCAGGTGGTCCCTTCGCTCCTCCGATTAAAATATCAGCACTGTAGAATGCATTTCAAGTCATGATCTAGAGAAATCAATGGAGAGAGAGAGAGAGAGAGAGAGAGAGAGTTACTTGCAAGATTTTTTGATTGACAAGATTGAAGATCCCTTTCTGCCAATGATGCATCCCATTTTTCCTGGAGGGACATCAAGCACAGACAAGATCTCCTCCTCCGGACCATTCCCTTCTACAATGAGGTTATCTGACAGGACAAATCAAATCTTAGCATTTGATATATGACTAGACTACATCTTAACTTATCAAGCAATTCATGAACAAATTTGAAGCTTATTGCTATACTACACAGGATTCAGGAATACTTTTGAACAAAACATGTGGTGGAAACTTCTATTACAAAAACACAGACTTTATACACACAAGCCTGTCCTGACTCAAGAAACTCATCCCCTGTCAACACAGCTACCCATGTTTGTTCACCCCACTCGAGACCCCTCTTGAGGTGCATAGTCGAGATGAACTTGTCGTTGGTGGTTGACATAGTGAAGATAAGGCACAAATAGTCCCCCATGACACGGAGTTGGAATATGGCATCCTAGTTGTATTCCTATTCCCCAAGAACTCTATAACCTAAAAATAGCCTAGAAATCATTCATTAGCACTGTAGTCGACAGTGAAGTTCACCTTGCTTTCCCATGGGCACCACTGACCTAGCAATCCCATAGATTGGTTAGGTTGCTAAGTTAAAACCCTTGATTCTACTAGGACCCTTCTTCCAATGACAACCCAATACTCACTACTTCAATACCCACAACAAAATTGTCATATGCCCATGTTGACCAATGTGCGGATGAGTTTTCCATTGAAACCTTGCTTACTACTAGAGCTTTTCTTCTCCATGGCATTCATCATATGGAAAGCACCTACTCCAAAACCACCAGATTTTGAGACCCTTGAGCGCCTTGACAGCAAGTCTTCCTACTAACTATTAGTGCTACCACAATCAGACAAGTAATTCAACAAACTTATGTGAGTAGTTGAGAATATAATATAAATAATGAACTTGCGCCTCTAACTGCTTAAGCCTTTAGATGAGTTGGTGGTCAACAATTTAATATGATATCAGAGCAGGCAATACATCCAGTGTTTGAACCTCACCGTCTATCTGATAATTAAAAATGCATGTACATGTTTGGCCTGCTACAAAGAAAAAGCATGGCCACACGTGAGGCAACGTGTTGAGAATATAATACAAATAAAAAAGTTGTCCTCCCTAACAACTTAAAGTTTTTAGATAAGTTAGTGGTCAACAATCTAATATGATCATTCAACAACCCTACATAGCTCATTTCATAGGTAACAAGAAATGGGGCCACACCCCTTGTCCATTGGGTGTCGTGTCTCTGACAGTCATAATGCATTAAAGCTCCTCAAAAATTTGAAAAATCATGAAATATTTCCCTAAAAATGTAGCTCTCACCCTAAGGTAATTTTAGAAAATTTTTAAAGAAAAACTGACTCATTTGATCCTTGGGTGTGTAACCGAAGTGGTTGATTGGACTACTGCACAAGTTAACTTGGCGTACTCAAGTGAGTGGGTGTTGATGTGCACACACAAGTGTTGCTAGGCTTGCCACACTCGTGACACTAGACATTAGGCTTGGTTGTGTAGGTGTCACTTGAGCGCTGCTAGCTTGAAATGGGCCATCTGGCTGAGGGCCATGGACACTTTTCCTTGGGCCATGCTTGACCTGTTGTGTGGCTGGTTGGGGTGCTGCTTGTGGCTAGTTCTGCATATGAACTAGTTCGAGCTTTGGGGCTATGTTACCAAAAACACTGATACCTTAGCGAATTACATATTGATACACACATTCCAAAACATGGTACACTTCCGTTTCAAAACAGTAAATTTAGTGATCGAAGGCGTTCCCAAATGTTTTTTCTAATATACTTCCTTAAATGTTACTTTAAGAGGGAAAAAAAAATCAAATATAATGAATTAAAATCTAAGATGAATTAACCAAAGGGCTCTAGCCTAGTTGGCTAGCCCTTTGGCCACCAAGTCTCTCTTAACAGGGAGGTCTTCAGTTCCACTCTTAGAAGTGAAATGAGATGGCAAGATTTTCTTGCAAGGTGTATGGGTATGAGTTTCAACTCCCCGAGATGCTAATCTAATAACTAACCACTGATTTTCGGTGATCAAAAAAAGTCTAAGATGAGTTAAGTTTTAACAAGACAAAAACATTAACAATGAAAAGAAAAATAAAATAAAACAAAATAAAATTATTGGATGCCTAATAGTTAAAAAAAAATTATCCTAGAAGTACCTTAAATTCTTAAGTGTACTATATATTAGTCTACCCTTATCGTACCACATTTTAGAACATGTGGCATATCACGTTCACGTTCCTGTTCCCATTCCACGTACCAGAACGATCCACGTTCTAGCTAACATAACTTTAGGGTGTACAAGCTCGGCCCGCTAAAAATTAGTCAAGCTCGAGCTTAACTCAAGTTCGAGCTCAGCTCGTTTAGTGTTTGACAAACTCAAGCTTGGCTCAAGTCAACTTAATTACATAAACAAGGCAAGCTCGAACTTGAGTTTAGAAAGAAAAATAAAAACCTAACTTAACATGTACATGTTAAAAAAGAGAAGACTATGAACAAAGTATAAATGAATGCTTCATATTGTTAATAAATTTTATCAATCAAATATGTAAATTTGCATAGACACCAAACATAAACAAAATAACAATAATAATAATAATAATAATAATAATTAATTTATATATCCTTTTGTTCACGAGCCTATTCATTTGGTTCTACTCAAGCTTTACTTGATTTTGAGCAAGCTTAAAATTTTACCTCAAGCTTATCCATTTAGCAAATGAGCAAAGCTCAATTGAGCTTTAAATGAACCGAGGTCAAATTGTTCATGAACAGCTCGATTCGTTTGCAGTCCTACTAAGGTTGCCTTGAGCCAAGCTTGGGGGCATGTCACGAGCTCTTAGTTGCACACCCATGGGTAACTCCTTAGGCACATGCAGGAACAAATGAGCATTGCATTTGCATCAAGAGCCAATACCTTGGAGAATTGCACCTCGACACTAGGCCATCCCAAGAGCCATCCCCAAACTTGGATTCCAATATGCAGACTCTGTCAAACATTCGATGCCCAATACTCAGAGAACAAAAGAAACCCTCGACCCATGCACTTCGATGTTTGTTGAAACCTACCGGACACCTAAAGAACCCTCTCATCCTCATAGAGTAATGGATCTCTATAGGCCTCTACCTCATTCAACCACCATCTCAACCCCATTCTTGCATTCTTCAACAACTTGATGTTGAAGAACTTCAACCCAAGTTGGGTGAACTTACACTTCTTCTCAACCCACTCTTTTGAAATTAGAAGAGCTTCAATGGAGGATTTTAACTCTACCCTGCACCTATCTTTGGAAATATCATATTCCTAATCAAAGCCCGTCAACTCTTTTATTTCCTTAGTATAACAAATCTAGTGTATCCTTCTAGTATAACAAATCTAGTGCCTCATGCTCCGTCAACTTCTACATTATCATTGTGAATATAGTTATAATCTATAGGACTTACAAATTTCTGTAATTGCTAGCCATGTTAGAAGTGCACAATTTTTTTTAGCAACAACCAGGACTTACAGCATTGCAAATGCACACAAGAAACACTAAGCAATACCAAGCCAACCTTGACCTATTATTCACTATATCAAACATAGAGTTGAAACAGACCGTCTTTCACAGGCAAATTGATCTCCAGACAGTTATTACATCACAGTTGCCTGACACAACAAATGTAATCCATATAATTATAACAATGTGAACATTGTGCAGTCTTTTTTAGAGGGGCTTGAAACAGCAGTATATGAGCAACAGATGTAGACTAGCCATACCCTACATGAACGCATGACCTTTGTGTGTGTATAATATCTTTATGCAAGACCTTTGCAGTTGGGAAGAGAGTAAAACACCTGGAATAGACGGAATAGATGGCCAATCCACATATTCATTATCACTGATGCAGAAACATCGACTATAGAGTGCACCACGAACAGCCAGTTTCCATAAGGATCTTTCATTCAGCTTCTCCATCATCTTGTGGTAAATATAAGGAAGAAAGCGGACATCATCTGCAGCTGCACGGACCATCAGTTCAGACAAGGGTCTGTACATCCAAAATGTTGGATCCTGGAAATAAATATAAAAATTACACATCTCTCCAAAGAAAAGGGAACTAGGAATGAAAGGACATGCACAAAAATATGAATTATACACATTTTGTTTTTGTAAACAAAAGAAACATCATACAAAAATTTCTAAGCAACCAAAAAAACCCAAGCAAAATAAGTACCAAAAGGACTCTAAAAATTGTAGCAGCGAAAATTATTGCTTATTTGGGAGTTAGCTTTTAATATTTCTGTGAGTTTCTGAACTTAAAAACAATTTTAACCATGCATTTAAGCTCCCTTGCATCAGGTCTAAAAATAGGGGGAGGGAAGGGAAAAATAACATTAGTAACTCCAACAAAGTTCTGCATCATGCAAACAGTTAGGACTCAAGGAAACCCACTTAATTAATGATAATCAATTCATCGCGAGACTGTTGCCAAGAAAATTATACTTGAGTTGACACTAAGCACTCAAATACATTTCTTCAAAAGACAAATGAGAAGAATGATACATCTTACAGTTAAGAAGCACAGACACGGACACGACATGGACAAGACACGGACACGCAAATTTTCAAAAAATGCAGGACACGACACATTGGGGACACATGCAAAACGTATAATTTTCTATATTTATTATATGTCATATTTTTAAATATTTAATATGTATGTTATGTCAAATATTTAATTTTATCAAATTTATCAACCTTAGGTATGCTATTTTAGTAAAAAGATTAAAAAATTTAATTTTTTTGTAGAAGAGTCCTCAATGTGTCCTTAATGTGTCCATTGTGTCCTCAGCATGACCCAACATGTCCGACTCTTTCTAGCGTGTCCGACATGTGTCCAGAGCGTGTCTGTCATGTGTCCATGTCTGACGTGTTAGACACTCATACGTGACCTTAGTTGCACGAAGCGGGAGCAGGAGTGGGGGAACGTGGCCACTTAGAGGAGCCGTAGATTAGGAGCGCTCATGTATTATTTTTATTAATTATATTTTATTTATTATAATAAATAAGGAATAATAAATTATGTTAAAATAAATAAAAATAAAAACTAGACGATTAAATCTTTTATTTTATAAATTTTTTAAGTTTTTTTTTTATTATATATGATTTAAATAGATTTCTTTTAAACAATTAGATTATTTATTTTATTTATTATATGTCAAAAAGTTAAGAAATAATAAATTTTGTTAAAAAAATAAAAAAGAAATAACAAATAAAAATTATATTATTTATGATAAATTTTATTATATATGATAAATATTATAATTTATAAATTATATTATATATGATAAATCATATTATATAAAACAAATATGAAAACGGAGAGGGAGAGGGAGAGAGAGAGAGAGAACAGCGAATAGATCGAGAGAGAGAAGCAAACATAGACAAGGAGAGAGAAGCAAACAGAGATCGACAGTGAGAGAAGAGACGGACAAAGACAATCGAAGACTAGGGCTTCAAAGAGAGGGACGAAGACTAGGGCTTTGAAGGGGAAGTCAAAGGGCGCGAGATCAAGGTCGTCGAACAGAGGATCGAAGCCAACGACCAGGTTCTCTCCTTGACCTCTCAAGAGTGCTTCCTTCTTGCATCAGATTTGCTTTTCCCTCTCCTCAGATTTGCAATTCTGCTGCGATGCTTCCTCAGAAGCGCAGAATCGCACTTCTTCCTCAGAACCATCACCATCTGAGACAATTCCTACTACTAAGTACATGACCTCCGGAGAGCTGTCCGTGCTTCATAGATCTTACATAATATGAAAGTGTAAAATATTCTTCTTTGTAATTTTATTTCCTTCTCTTCAATAGTATATATGAACGAGGAAGAAAGGCCTTTGGGAGTAAATCCATTTCTTAAATACATCCCTGTTCACCAAGAGAACCTTCAAAGCATAGACAATCTCCGTAAAAGCTAGGTCAATCCTCATTGACCAACGTTGAAATACACATAGTAAGTTGTCTACTTCATGCACAGCCTGAAACAGCAGATAACTGATATCCTGAACACATGGTTGACCAGTCAGTTACAAATATCAACATTCAAAGCATATAGATCTTAAATATCCTAGGCTCCAGAAGAACAACAAAACCATCAATAGTTACCATGGGAAGTGTCATGTCAAGGCGAAAATTAACAAAATAAAAGCTTAACAATTTGATTCAATTGTACATCTTTAAGTTCAGAAACTTTATATATCAGAGGGGCTTTGAGGGTTGAAAGGCATTATTTCCATAAAACAGAGGCCCCTGAAAACTCGCACATGAGAACCCAACCACTTATCATTGCCCCAACAAAAGCCCCTCTGGACTGTCAAAAGTATTTAAAATAAAAAAATAAAAAATAAGCTCACCCTAGTATCTAAATAAATCAAGACATACATCTCTACCTACATTCCGCATATTAACTACTAATGAGGAAACACATGAAAATTTGTTAAGCAGTTACTGGAACAATAAACTGAGAAGATTAACTCAATGACATAAAATGACACAATAATACTACTACATTTCGATAGGTGCAGACATACATGACTATACTCACCTCTCTTAGACGGGTGCGGACTTCTTTCTTCTCAAGATATGATATACCTACATTCATAAACTAAAAGTTAAAACCAGAGAGAGGATAAAAACAAGAATGTCAAGATGCTGATTCTCCAGTCCAAGCTTTTAATAGCTATATTTAACAACAAACATTAAAAAAAACACCATCTGTTATCTATTAGAAGAAATATAGATGTCCTCATTAATAACCCATACAAAATACTTCAATGGCAACTAGACAAGTGTCCTGGCAAACCCACACAAATTTGAGATTGGACACAAAGTAGAAAATTGATGCAAACACAATCATAAAGAAGAAAACAGATAATTTACATGGTTTGGCTTAGGCCTACATCCACAAGCAAAGCCGACGAGAAGACTTGACTAACTGAGAAGAAGAAGATGGTATACAACAGCAGCTGCCAAACAAAGCTCCCAAACTCTAATCCCTCTCTATACAAAAATGAGCTCTCTCAAAATCCCCAAAAACCTTATATTTTGGGGTCCAAAAATGCAAGACAAATAGCCCCAAAATTTTGTGGCATTCAGCCCTCGGAAAGGCCCCCATGAACAAGAGTTTGCTTTGCTTTGGATTTTTTTACTTTTACTTGGGCATATGTATATTGGCTAAATCTAGTTCAACTCTACACATTTGTTGTCTAGGTAATACAAGTGGTAGAATAAATACTAGTTCTGCAAAATGTTTCTCATGGTATTTTGCAGATTAGATGGAACAGACCAACCTTATTTGATGACCACAAAACTACAAAATTGTAAATCCAAGAACATTAGTGTTGCACACTTCTATAAATACACAAAACTCAAATTGGTGATGATATTACAATTACATCAACCGAGGAATAGCGCTGCTCTCTCTATTACAAAGTGTTCAAATTATTTCTCATCCATTTAAATTTGAAATATAAAAGGTGAACATAATTGAGTTCATTCAAAAAGATAAAACTCTTACTTGATGGAGAAAGTGGACAAAATGGTTAACATTGTTTTTACATCATGTTAGCAACACCTTCTAATTTAGTAAATCATAAACCTAGGTATGTTTCCAAATTTAAGATAGAAATGCTACTGTAAAATTATTGCACGATTTTTTCCAAACTCAAATAGTCAGTTGGACAATATATATATATATAAATACAACTCCTCCAATTAAGTTGTAGCTGTAAACTTGTAGTCATATAATTTTGAATACACACTCCACTTTTCTTTTCTTCTCTTTTTAAATACTTTTTGATTTTATTAAAGACTATGTGAATCCCATTCAGAGGTAAGATAAACACAGGATAAAATTGCAACCAGGTCAATCAATCAACGTAAATACAAGTCACAAATTACCCCTAGATGAATCCCATTCAATGGCTAATTCGTGGAATTGGTGAGCCATACCCTGCTTGGAAAGCAATTTGGCGGAATAAAGCTCCTCCAAAAGGTAATGTTCTTTGCTTGGATTGTTTTATTAAACAGTAGTTTAACTATCGATAACCTTAGGAGCAGATGCAAGATCATCATAGATTGGTGTTGTGTGTGCAAACAGCCGGGAAATCTGTGACTCACTTGTTCACAATTGCCTGGTGGCAAACAAGCTTTGGAATCTATTGCATTCAGTTTGTGGGATGATGCGAGTAATGCCTTGATCAGTGAAGGAACTCCTTTATCTCTTGGAGTTTTTGCCTGGTAAAACTGAGACGGGTGGATGACAATTGCTTTGTGTCTTGTGGACAGTTTGGAACGGACACATGAGATATTTTGAGGGGACTAAGCACCTAATTAGTAGGTAGTATCAAAGGGCCTTTGCTTCTTGCTTTGTTTTTGTGGTTAAGACAGGAGTGCCCTTTTCTATTGGTTCTTTTGTACAGTTCATTAGAGATCTATACACGCCATTAGACTATGATGCACGGGCACGGACATGGACACATTACACGACACGGACACGCGGACACGCAAATTTGTTAGGAATTGACCCTTCCTAACCAAGATCGGTGAGACACGAAATAACAAACAAGGAAGAAAAAACGAATCAAATAAATCATACACATAAGAACACAAGGATTTACGTGGTCCACCCCAGGATAGGGCTACATCCTATGATCAGAAAAATACAACCCTCTCTTAACCTAAAAAAGACACCCCCTCATCTATTTATAAGTATAGAATTAGGGTTACACGGAAGCAATATGGGAATTACGAAAGTACCCAAAAAATTTCGGCCCAGGGGGTAAACCCCCCTTCCCCTTAGGGAGAGGCTCCCCCAAACCCCCCATTGGACCCAGTGTTTGAGTGAATAGTAAGGTTGAGTGAACAGTACTTATCAGGATCCACCGACCCAATAAAATTTTCAAATAAATAGGGACACGACACGTTGGGGATACGTTCAATTTATTTATTATATACCTAAAATTTAAAAATAAAAAATAAAATAAAATCATTGGAATTTATCAACAAAGAAAAAAAAAATCATTAGAAGATAAATCAATAAATACGGTATTGAAAAAGATTATTTTAAAATTTAATTTTTTTTCTTCAAAAAAAATAAAACTAATTTGTTCTATGCATTTCAAGTTCAACAAGAAGGGATACCTAAAAAATAGAGGGAAAAAAAAAAAGGGCAACTCAGAAGAGAAGAGGGGAGGGGGGAACTAAGAGGAGACAAAAACAAAATCATAAAAAGAAAAACGAAGTAAAGAAAATAGAAGAAGAGAGAAGCATAATCAAAGAGAAGATGATAGAAGCACAAGTAGGATCGAAGAGAAAAACAAAAACACAAGGAGAATCGAAGAGAGAAAAGACGCCCTAGCCAGTTGGAGAAGAGAGAGAGAAAGAGATCAAAGGAGAGGTGGATCGAAGGCCCTAAAGCTATTCAAAGAGGTGAATCAGAGGTCGATCGAAGGCCTAAAGTTGTTCAAAGAGGTCGGTTCGAAGGCCCTTTTGAAGTATTCTTCTTTTTCTCTTCGTTTTTCTGTCTTCTCTTCGATTTTGTTTTTCTTCTCTTCGATTCTGCTTCTGCTTCAATCACCTCCTCTCTATTTCTCAAGTTTATTTTTCCTTGCATGTCCTCCCGTGTCCAAGACGTGTCCGATTGACAAAATTCAAAAACAAAAAAAAACAAAAAAAAAAAAAGGGGACACCTCTTGTAGAGTGTCCGACACGTGTCCACCATGTGTCCAACGCGTGTGCGTGTCCGTGTCCCACACTTGTACGCTGCCTTCAGAGAGGTGTCCATGCTTCATACCCTCTAAATGTATAGTTTTAGCCTGGTTTTGTACAAGGTCGCTGTTTATGGCAATTTTGGTCTATAATAATTTATGAATCAAAAAAATTATGTTTTCAATTGAGAATGTAAGATTAAAGTTTAAGGATTTAACTAAGGTTAGGAGAAGGGGAAGGCCTGAATTGACATGGATATGGTAGTAAGAAAATATATGAATTTATTTAATTTGACTAAGCGTATAACTCTTGATAGAGTGGAATAGTGAAAAAAGATTCAACTCCACCTAATTAGGACACAAAGCGTTATATGCTTAGTCAAATTAAATAATAATAATAATAATAATAATAATAGCAACAACAACAACAACAAATGACAATAATAATAGGAATAGTTATTATTCAATGGCAAGAAGACAATAAGAGAAATGAACTCCAGCAAAGATTTAGTACCACAATAGCGCGGATCCGCAAGCAGGCCAACAAAAGAAATGTAGTCATCATGTGATCTTTTCCGCCCCTGCTGTTCCTCTATAAGATAATATGCTATCTGCACACACACACGAGAGAGAGAGAGAGAGAGAGAGAGAAGAAAAGAAAGAATAGACAAGAAGAAATTAGCAACACCCCTTGATCATTAGTTGCTTTCATGTAAAGAACACATTTATTACTACAGGAGGAACAATTATAAACAAACTAGCAATCAGTTGAGCACAGAATAAATTAGGGTGAAACGTCAAATTGTGCAAGTCCGTACTCTCCAAATCTAAAAGCATGGATATCATTAAGGATGAGAATATATAGAATGACCTCTAATAGCCACAAGAATATTCCTAAATGGTAGTCTTACTCATATGAAAACGCAAAGTTGGTACATCTCCTTTCAAGCTCTGAAACAGTTGTTGTTTAAATCAGTGTCCCAAAGTAAGTTTTGCTTGCTGCGATGATTAATAACTTAGGCTGTGTTGGTACAAGGATTTGGAGAGGGATTTGGAAAGGGAAAAGAAAAAAGTGTATGAAACTAGATGAAATGTAGATATATTTTATTCACATTTCGCAGTCATTTTCCCTTTCCATTTCCCTCCTCAAATCCTCCAACCAAATACATCCTTACTGTTATGAAATTATGATCAGATAACAAAAGAAACAAGTTTGACCTAATACTCTCAAGTTAGAAGCCATTCCTCCATCAAATTATTCCACTCAATATAACTATTAACTAAGAAGTGATCAGATAATAAAAGAAACAAGTTTGACCTAAAACTTTCAAGTTAGAAGTCATTCCTCCTTTAAATTATTCCTCTCAATATAACTATTAACTAAGCAATGATCAGATAACAAAAGAAATGAGTTTGAACTAAAACTTTCAAGTTAGAAGCCATTCCACCCCATTCAGATGCCCAGTAAACCCTTGATTGATGGCTAATAAGACTTTTTATGCAAAAGGAACAGTCCACTTCAGCAGCCTTGATGCCCTCACTAGAGTTACAGGCCTGCATTACCAAGCCCGGCAAAACAGCCCACTTGCCATAAAGACGTGGAGACACATGGCTGATAATCTGTGTTGGTAGAGTGTAGCGATGGCAAACCATTCAATTGAACACAAAAGGTGTATAATGGGACTTATACTCGGACTATAAAAATTTCTTGCACTGAAAATGAAAGGCGGAACCCAAATGAAAGAACTATATTCAGGCCACATAAAATTCTTGTGCAATAAAGCTCCAGTAAAAGGCTATGTTATTGCAATGCTGAATAGCATGGATAGGGAAACAAATTGGAAAATTAAAAGAGGAAACAAGTAGCTTACTGAGGTTAATGTGGTCAAATCAGGCAGGGAAAAACAATTTAACCAATGCATGTTATTCTACAGACCGTTTTCTCTCAAAAACTAGCTTCTCCTGTTCTATAAGAGTTGCAACATCTAGCTGTTTTTTTTAATGCAAACCAAAAGCCACCCACACACCCCCAAAAAAGTAAAAGAGATGAATAGGTAACTAGAAATTCCCCAAGTTTTCCACCCTACGAAGCACGGACACATGACACAACATAGGCACGCCAACGCAATAATTTTCAAAAAATGTAAGACACGACAAGTGGAGGACACACACAAAATATATAATTTTATTTCTTTATTATGTCATGTATATGAATATATCATTCAAAGATTAAAAAAAAAAATGCAACACAATACTAATTTCTATAAATCTACATTATTTTATCATTGTATCCTAAATTATTTTATTCAAATTTATAATTAATTTCATGTGCATCTAAGTGATGGACATGTGTGTCCACAAGTGTCTAAACTATGTTCGATCAAAGAAAAAAATAGGATGACACGTAAGGATGAGTGTTCAACAAGTGTTGGAAAGTGTCCAATGAGTGTCAATGTCTGACACAAACACGACATGCACATGCCAGTTTCATAGAACTGTTTGTGCTTCTTAGCTTTCAACTATTTAGTACCAAGATACATGGACCAGACCAAGTTGTCTAGAACAATGTCTGTCCTCACCGGACACCGTGGTCTGGTTTGATGACTGTAAGCATGCATTGAAAAGTTATTTTTAAAATTAAAAAAATAATAATAAAAAAAAAAAAAAACTTGAAACTAACCTGGGTGTCCACAACATTGTGCAACTTGATTCCAAATTGAAAATATAGAGCCTGCAATAAGGACAATATACAGGAGTAGGCATAACATGTAATAACTGAAATACAAAATATGCAGACAAGTTTTAAATCAATTCAAAGACCTCACTGTCCCGTTTGCAGTCGTGAATAACTTTTGTGATGTAACTAGATTCAAGAGCAGGCTTACAGGCATTCATCAGCACTTTCCCACCTTGAATAGCATCGACCAAATAGATAGCATCTGGAAAAGCAAGCTGCCACAGAAAAAGGATGTATAGCAATGAATTTATACCGTCATGATTACCTAAGGTCCCTATTGAATCACAAGGAGACGCCCCAAAATAAAAATCAGTTACAAATTTTAAGACTAAACAAAACGAAAAATAGCCAAACTCAAAATTAAAATATATCTAGCAAAGCACTATTCATACAGAACTTAATTTTAAAAGCTATAAAGTTCTGTATGAATAGTCACATCCCAAAGACATCGCTCATCACATCCCCAAGGACATTGCTACACATCCTATTTCTTTATTTTATTTACAACTCATTGGAGACATAAAAGATAACTGCACATCATTAAAACTGGGTTAGCCTTTAACTATGAAGTTCACTAAGGTAGTCCAAAACCATACTCACCTAAAAAAGGGCAATAATAGACTAATTTTACAAATTGTTTCTTACACAACAAAAGTATAAATCCCAAACGAAACTTTTACTGCTTATACAACATAAAAAATATGATGATGCCGCTTACAAAAAATTAGGTGGGAATACCTCCATTGGAAAATTTTATTATTTTTACTGTAGCAAAAACCCATAATCAAATGTTAGCAAAAACAAATTTGCTACTGTCTATAAATTTAGATAATCACATTATTCACGTTAAATTATTTATTATAGGTTATAACAAACACAATCCTAATATTGTGATTCTTCACATTGTTGCAGAAAGGGAGTTGCATGTTCTGAAATGTATTTCAATATTTGCAGACATACTGTCAATAGGAGTGTTATGACTAATATGTTTGACTTTGCCTTTGTACATAACTCATGAAATGTGTAAATTTCATACAGGCAAATAAAATTTTAACTTAACATATTTACATAGCAGCCTGAGTAACTCAAAAATCGTCATGGGATAAAATTGGGATAATGGTCCAGCATATGAACCAGAGGCTTGTTATCTAATCTAAATGTTATCAGAGTAGACATTACACCTGCATGATACAAAGAGTTCCATATCGACAAAGGTCAACACCCTCACAATCAAATCCAATCACCAGCTGCCTTTCAGGAGAGGGATAGAGAAATTCAGTCGGAAGTTGAGATGCATGGGTGACTATATGAATAGGCACCAATGATAGAAGCGCTTCATTATCTGGGTGCTTGCCTCCTGCAGAACATGTATGACAAGTAATGCAACAAAAATAATACAGTGACAGATTAAACAAAAAATCCCAAAAAGAAAAGAGCCAGCACGTTGAAAATAGAAAGGTTCAACAAACCAAATATCTGGTCCTAATGCAGTTACTAATCTTTGATTGTTTTTTGGCAGCAATGATCCTCACTTGCACAAATTACACTTCCTAATTCATGGATGGCCTGATTCACTTTTACACAAAACATTAAGCAAAGAAACCTGACGGTTCATACCATCATCTTTTTCATTTTGTCCCATAAAGTTCAGAGCAATGAAAATGTCAAAATTAGATTACTAATCTTTTTGTCATTTCCTTTTCCCTTTAAAAGGTACATTAGTTTTATGAAACATATTTGAAACACATTGAATTTAAGGTTTAATAAATCATTTAAAATTGGGTAAAATTATTTTACCCCAATGTGGTGTGATCCGATAGCATTTTACCTCCCTAACTTTTAAAAATAGCCACACACCTCCCATGTGGTTTTAGACTAAAATGCTACAGTTACATTTTCCATCCAAACTAACGACGAGTATATCACATGCCTATTTTGAGAGTGGGAAAGGGGAAAAAAAAAAAATTAGTCAAAGTTAAATTTCAATGTAAGAAGACGAAACTAACCTTGTTTTACATTTTTTTTTAATCTAAATTTCTTATTTAATAACATTTCAAATTAAACATACATATTATATTTATATATATATATATATATATCAAATTAAATTAACCTAAATACCTTAATTTATTATTATAAAAATTAATCATCAAACTACCTTAATCTAATATTTAATTTTTAACCCAATTTTTTTATTTAATAACAGTTTAAAACAAACATAAACATACATATATGTAACAAATTAAATCATATATTAAACTAAACACCTTAATTTATTAACATAAAATTGCCTTATTTAACAACATTTTAAATTGAACATATTCACATATATATATATAACAAATTAAATTTCAAATTAACCAAAATAATTTAATTTATTACCATCATAAAAGTACCTTAATCTAATTTTTTATTTTTAACCTAATTTATTATTTAATAACATTTTAGAATAAACATGTACATATATATTTAACAAATTAAATCATAAATTAATTACAATGTCTATATATATAGGGTACATATACATGTACATCGTAATTAAAATTAAAAATTTTGTTATATATATATATTTGGGAAACTCTAGTTTCTTAAATGATTTTTGTACTATATTTTTAATTTTTTTTGCTTAGTCATTGAGGTAAATTTATTTATTTAATTACAAAGAGAGCCAAAAATAGAAGAACACATAAAGGGTATAATTGTCTTTTTATTGTTAACATTAATAGGGTTAAGGTTGCATTTCAATCCAAAACCACATGGTAGGTTTATGGCTATTTTTAAAAGACAAGATGGTAAAGTTCTATTGAGTCATACCACAGGGAGGTAAAATAGATTTTTCCCTTTAAAATTTTCAGTTTTTTGGACTTCAAAACTAAAATGCCATTCAAAATAAGAATATGAGCCTTTGAGGATAAACACGAGAATACTTTGGGTTTCTAGTGCACATTTACTACCTCGTATTTGAGATTGGTTGATTTTTTAATAAAAAGTGCATGAGCATCATTTTATTTGAAAAAAGAGAAAATGACGAATTTTATCAAAACATCGCATGAGCATGATCATACTTATATCAAATATTCATATACTCTGTTAAATGTACTTCTACTGGGCTATTTTGCACATTCCTATAAATTAACAATTTCAAGTCAAGACGATGGAGTGCCACCCTGTTGAGTAGATGATGGGGATATTTTGGTGGAACAAGGACCTTCTTGTTGTGCTATATGTGATAAAGCTTCGAGCTAAATTGTCCGAATAGTCTTCCTATTTTGTGTAATCAAGACCCTTGTCCTGAAAAGATGTAAGCCACTAGGGCACTTTATTTGTTTTTCTCTCTCTAGCTCTTTGAACTACTAATGTCAGAAAGTTATATTTTGAAACAATGCCATTGTAATATGAACATGAAATATTTTGAGGAAGTTCAAGGAGAAAGAGAAGTATTTAATCACTACTTGATGTACTCCAATCATGTCTTTATCTTGCATCAATTTTTATTATGAAATGGATATAAGTTATAAAGAATTGAATATTTTTATTATCTAAGAATCATAGTGTTACAGGGCTACGCCCACGGCTATTACAATTTTTACTATGATCAGAAAATAATTACAAATCTCTTAACCAATACAAGAGGCGGCCCCTTACCTATTTATAAGCATAGAAATTAGGGCAATGCGGAGATGCACCCCCAAACCTCCCATCCCTTGGGAGAGGTATCCCAAACCCCCCATTGGACCCAGGTGACCCAAGGCACTTGTGTACAGTACTTATCAGGCTCCTCAAGACCCAACATAATTTACCCTTTTTTGTGCAAATTAATATTGTTAGAAATGTTGATGAGAAGAGTATTTTTTTTTCCTCTTTTATTTTTATTACCTCCTTTACAAAAATCTACACGACTAGTATTAAATTATCTAATTTTATTGATTTACGCCACTTACACCAATTAAAGCTTAAAGTTTTCTAAAATAGTGAGTTTAGACAATATGAAAACAAATATATTACACAATTAGGGGTGGTTTGGGATGATCTAAATAAGTGTACTTTTTTACTTTTTGTGAAATATAGGTTGGGTATGGGTTGGGTTTGAAGTAATGTGGTAGAGAGGTGATGTGATTTAAATAAGATGATGTGACTTAAATAGGATAGTGACTTTTTGACTTTTTTAGAGTACCCCAAACAAGGCCTTAGTAAGATTAAGAAAATTTTTGAAAGTAAATTTGATTCAATAATACAATCATGTACTGGGAGTGTTATATCTTTTGTTATACCTATTTTAACAATGCATGCATATCTTAATTAAAGGAACTTACTTTTGCAATTTGAAGAATTGTACATTGCTTAATGACAACTATGATTTTAACCAATAGGAACTATATTTATTTTTTTACCTATGTCTAAAGATATTAATAAAATTTTAAAAAAAAACTTACAATACTCAGATTTAGAGGGGGAAAAAACCAAAAAAAAACCACATACAACATTCGTATGCCAATTTGACTTTTGGATTTTAGGTTTTGGAATGACTTTTCAAAAACCCTAAACCAAACAAGTTTTGGGTTTTGGGTTTAGAAAATTTGATTTAAAAATTGAACCAAACGCACCCTATGATTTTAACCTTTCGGAACTTTTCAAGCAGTATTATAAAATTGAAACAAGAACTCTGAAATAAAAACAAAGAAACCCAAATGGGCAACAGCAAGAAAACTGAATCCTCTGATAACAGCAACAAAAACAAAACAAAAAAAATCAACCACCCCCCACCCACACCCAATATCAACATTCAAGAAAGTAACAACGGTCAAAACCCAGAAGAAAAAACCTAATTAAGCCAGTTAATGACAACCCAGAAACCAAAGCAAAAACCCACGTTCAGGAACATTTAATCATCAAAACCTAAGAGCAAAAAGCCAACATAACACCAAAACCCATGTTGAAAAACAGATGATCAAAATAAAAAAAAAATTACCTGAGTCAGAAGGGAGAGGAATGTATGTCTTATGGGGAGTAGTAGCAAACGCCATGTGATCAAGAACCCCAACTAAAACATATAAACACTGTTGATGTTTAATATATAATAAAAAACAATTATCTGAAAATTCGAAAGTTCCTAGAATTACACTGTGTGTGTAAAGGTTTCCTCTCTCAGGGCATGCCCCTCAATTTTCGTGCGTTTTCTCTTTCTCTCTCTCACGCAATTGCAGAGCCTCTTCGCAATTTAAACATGATTATCTGTACATATAACAGCCGGTTAACTATAAGAGATTAGTCCTTTTTTTAAGGGTAAATTACATTGATACCTCTTAAATTTATGATTATTACATTTCTCCTCATCTTTTGAAAATTACATCACTCTTCCTGAGATTTAATGTTTTATTACAAATTGTTCCCTGAGATTTAAAGTTTCGTAACAGTTCCTCTTTCACCGTAATAATCATCAAACATAAAATTAAATTAATAGGGGGTCAGTGTAATTTCCCAAATGTAAGGGGAACTGTAATAAATGGTGTTTTGAGAAGTTGGTAAAAAATTGACTTTTTGACTTTTTTAGCTTATTTTGTCTTTTTGTAGGTAAGTAATGTAAGAGGTGATGTGACCCAAAATTGGTAAAAAGCTAGAAGTTGACTTTTTACCAGCTTCCCAAAATAGCACATAAACCTCTGGGGTGTCAATCTAATTTATCCTTTGTTTAATGATTTTTTCTTCTTATTTTAAATAATTTATTAATGGTGATCAATATATTAAGTAAAGATTTTTCATAATTACATAAATATTTTTAGTCAATTATAAAATAATTTTTTTCGTAATTACACAAACATTCTTAGTTAATTATGAGATGGTTTTTTTCATAATTTGGCATAAATTAAAAATGTCAAAATTTCAAAAAATCACTATTCTATTTAAGTCACATCATCTTATTTAAGTTAAATCACCTCTCTACCACATCACTTCAAACATAACTCATACCCAACTCATATTTCATAAAAAGTCAAAAAATACACTTACGTAGATCATCCCAAACAATCCCTTATCAATTATGAAACATAAATTTTTTATTTTTTAACAAATTACAAGTACACTCATAAGATTTGTTTAAAATATGAATCAATTCTATAATATTAGAAATTACAATTATCATTTGTTATAAATTTTAATTTACACAATAAAAAAAAAACTAATTTTCCTATGCAATAATAAATTATCAAAACTATTTATTGAAAAAAATTTATCATATCATTAAAAATTATAAATTGACTTAATGATTTATTTATTAACAAAATGATTAACTGAAAAATATTTTTCATATCATTAAAAATTGTTAATTTACTTAATAATTTAATTATTTATAAAATTGGTAATTTGTTATGCGAGTATGATTTGTGTATTAATAAAATTAATCATTTGCATATATATGTATTTTCTTTTACTTTTTTATTAATTCAGTGAATTATCTTAATAGTTTTTTTTAGATAGAATTAATTGAAAAATCTTTTTTATGTATTTATTTTATATTTATCTGTTGAGAAAATCTACACACTATAATTTTTTTTATAAATTCGGAAGAAATGTTTAAAACTCATAAATTCACCCAAAATGATATGGTAATAGAATTGGAGTCTACATCATTAGATGCATAACAAGTCAAAAAATAATATATATCATATCACATAATTCTATCATATATCTCATGATTGATTATATTTAATTTCATAGAACAATATTCTAATTTTTAAAAAATTATTAAAATAAAGAATTTAAACATACTGTAATAATAGCTCATGCCTTACATGGGCCTTTTTAACTAGTATTTTTATAAGTTGTCGTTTGGCAAAAAAAAAATTTCCTAAATAAACATAAAAAATCAAATAAGTTAATAAGATAAAATGTCACATCTAAACTATAATTATTTTATTTTTTCTCTCATAACTAGCACATCTAAAGAAAAAAAAAACACTAAAAGTTCTTCCTAAACGGAAATAATTTAGTTAGGCTAAATTAGTCAAAAAATCATACTATTGTTTAGAATTATCTAAATAAGTATATTTTTTGATTTTTTGTGAAAAGACATGCACAAAAATACAGAGGTGGTGTGACACAAATAAATGCACTTATCTAAATAAGTGCACTTACTTAATTTTTGCCAAGTAGTGCCTTAGCTATTCTTAAACTAAGCCTAAGTAACTTATTGATTTATTGACTTATTTGGGTTATATCACATCTTTATTTTTCAACACTTCTTTTTATAACTTATAAATTGTACCCAAAACAATTCAAATTTGAGACATTAGGGGTTGTTTGGGATGACCTAAATAACTGCACTTTTTGTCTTTTTACGAAAAGATGTGTAGAAAAGTAGAGAGGTGATGTGATGGAAAAAAGATAAAAAGATAAAAAGATGGATTATTTTGATGTTGCCAAACTTGGTCTAAATTCGGGCCACGTTTGTGACGCCTCAAAATTTAAGGACATCATAATAAGATTTAGAACTTAAAATCAATATTGCCACCAATATTATTAACATCCATTAATTAACAACCCAGAGATTTAAAGTTCTTAAATTACAACTTAGGCATCGTTTGAGAACAAACTTTTTTAGTAACTTTTTGGCTAAAATATGATGTAAAAAAAACTAGTATATTTGAGATGACTTTTTGATTTTTTACGAAAAGATGTGCAAAAAGTAAATAAAAAAAAGAATCTTTGACTTTTTGGTATAGGTTGTTTTTTTTTTTAGTGACTTTTTGACTTTTAGGCTAAAAAGTGATATTGCCAAATGAGGTCTTAGTCTTAATACGTAAAAATAACACAAATATAAAAAAGAAAACTAGAAAATTTAGAAAATAGTTTATGGAACTTAGGCACTCTTCAAGCTAACCAAGGTTGAATGTTGCCTTGTAAGGCCTCGGTGTTCCCTTCGGTTTCTTCGGTACCTGGCATAAAACGCTAGGGCAACGGGAATGCCAATGAGCGACAAATTCAATAAGATACTACAATCTAAAAATACCCACCCCAATAATAATACTCACAATTAATGAATAATATGTAGTAACAGAATAATAAGTAGCATTTAATAAGTATAACAGGAACGCTGTCAGTTGAAATAATAACAATAGATAAATAAAAAAAAATGGCAAACGGAAGTAGTATTTCATCATAAGGAAAATGCCCACCTTTCTTTTTAAATTCTTATAGATTTAGTTTATTAGATAAATTTAAGTAACTCCCCGCGGAGCACTATTTCCACTCAACCGTTAAGCAATGGCCACGGGTAATTCTGACTCCCCCTTGGGCAAATATTCAAATGTTACTTACTGTAACTACCAATGATGCCTACGCACCAGGGTTACGTACCCGAGTCGTGACATCATGATCTGCCCTAAGGGAACGGTCTATGTTGTGACACTCGCACCACCAACCTTATATTGCCTACACCGATAAAAGCCGAAATACCTTCCCGTGCCATGTTAGGGTTCATTTGTGCAAGATTCTAAACCGGGCTCACCCCATCACTTTTAAATTTTAATGTATCATCGGTTCAATTTTGTGTTTCTTTACTTCGTCGAATTCACATTTTGATGCATATGCGAGTTTTAGTTTGAAAACCATAGTGACATAATGTTTATATAACACAACACAGTCATGTATGGCAACCAAAATAAATATGATAGAATGTCTTGGGAATCATCACAAAATTTCTTAAGAATTCACACACTTCTTCTTTTAGTACTGTATGGTCAGACAAGAAAATATGAAACTCATACCAAACGAAGTTCAACCATTACAATATTTTAACTCTTGCTAGTTCATTGAGTTAGAAAAATATTTTGAGAAGAATACCAGGGTTAAAAATGATTTTAAAATGGAGAAATAAAATTTGGAGAAAAGTGATTTTTCTGGGACAGTGAGTTACATTAACTTCCAGCACAGGTAATCTATGTTTGAAAAGTAAAAAAGGGCCTCAAACTTGTCAAAAAGAGGTATGGTCAAAACGGTTTGCTAGATATTTGAGTTTAGACCATATTTCCAGAGGAGTTTGAAGACTGAAACCCAATTGAAGATGGTCAAATAAATTTTCTAAGAAAATTGGACAGATTCTGTCACATTTTGAAAAAATTGACGTTTCTCTCTCAATGCTTAAAAAAAAATTATGAAATCAGTGGCATTTGAAAGGTAACTTAAAAATATAACTTTTCCAATTTGGATCACTTGAAAACTCATTCTGTAGAATAAACGGTGACCCAGTAAAGTCAGCATTGCTACTGCCCCCAGACAACAATGAAGTTAAAAATATGTTTCGACCACGAAATGTTGTCAAATATATATATTTTTTTGTTGATATTCTAGCACCATGAAAACATGCTAAACTAACTCTAGTAGTTTCAAATTTTATGAAAGTGTTCCCATGAGTTTGTTTGGGTTTATTCAAAACGGATTAAAAATCTGCTTTGCTGGAAGTTCATTATTTTGTGAAAAACATACTTTCTATTCACCATAAATCATACGCAAGACTATAAAAATTATTCTTGCTACTATTTCCATGTGAAACTTTATTCCTTCATATTTACTTTCATTAGTGGTAACAGGGAATAGATGAAAATAATATTTATGAAGAGTAAACACAAATTTATAAGCATGCAAGATTAATTCAAACAATGGAAAATATTTGTACACATAAGAAGAAAAATCAGTAACTAGACCCTCTAATCTATACTTGCAAGAATGATAGAAATCATATAATCATAAGATCATCATTCTATCAACATGCATTGAGTTATTGTGTATTAACAATGCATACTCTTGTATATTTTTGATATGTAGATTTAGTAAAAAAAAAACATATTTAAGGGAGGATAGAGGTTGAGTATTCCTACCTCAAGAGCTTTTCCAAACAATTCTCAACACTAGTTTTGAATTGATAACCACCAAGCAACCCTCTCCTCTTCCTCTCTTTTTCCTTTCTTTTTCTCCTCTCTTTTTCCTTCTTTTGCTCAGCTGTGTGTATGTAATGGAAGGGCTGAACAGTGCTCTTAGTTGTAGGAGTTTGAGGTCCTATTTTATTTTATTTTTATTTTTCCTCTTGGCTTGGGAATTATTATCTACAAGCATAGGCTTAGAGTGTAAAGGTATGCATAAGCTTAGAGTGGAGGAATTAAGAAGTGTGGTGAGATTAAATGAGGAGATTATTAATGTGATGATATTATGTTGGAGATGTAAGAT